TTCTTTGAAGAATTATAGATTCAATGGCCAAGTATAGAACAATGAAACTTTTTATTTTTGCCGAAAACAGGAACAAGTTATTGGAAATAGTTTAGTAATAGGAAATTTTACCTCTAAATCAGAAATACCAATTTGTAATGATAAAATTTAAGAATCTCATTGTAAATTCATTTAAGGGAAACTTCTCTGTAAAGCATTTATGGAACTATTTCATGATAAATATTGCACAGGATACTAGAATACTTTAAAAATGCTCCTTGAATTAGAATAATTGAGTACTTTTTGGATGGAACATGATAACTTAAACATGATCACCACAATATTTTCAAAAAATCAGGTGTTCTCCATGGATTTTCTGGAGGGAAAGGGTGTTGGTACTTACCTGATACACCCGTTCTCTGTGAGCTGTGAAGAGCATCCAGAAGTGCTTCAGTCTCTTCTGGAAAGGCTGGGCTTAAAACTCCGGGACGCTCCTCCTCCTCCACGGGACACCTCCCCAGCATCCCCCAGTTTTGAGAAGACTGAGTGCCAAAGTCCGGAAATCATCACCTAATCTAGATCCCTGACCAGAACGGAACCCCACCAGATGGAAAGAAATGGGTGGGGCTGGATGCTCTTCACAGCTCACAGAGAACGGACGTATCAGGTAAGTACCAGCGCCCTTTCTCCCATGAGCTGTTCAGAGCATCCAGAAGTGGGACATACCAAAGCTTGGCCTGTCCTTAGGGAGGGACTCCGTCTGGATCGAAATCCACTCCTAAACTCTGTGGACCCTCTGCAGGACTCTTCTGCCAAATGAAGCGTCCACTGAGGCATAGACGTCAATTTTATAATTTCTGACAAAGGGCAATGGTGAAGCCCAAGTTGCCGCTCTGCAAATTTCATCTATGGAAGCCCATGTGGCCCATGCTGCTGATGTTGCCGCACTCCTTGTTGAGTGGGCTGTAATGCCCTTAGGAACTGAGATGGACTGGCATTCGTAACTTTTAGCTATGGTGGCTCTCAACCATCTACCAATGGTCGTCGACGACACCTTGTGTCCTAAAGCGGATGGGTTGAAGGATAGGAATAGAGCCTCAGATTTTTGAAATGCCGCCGTGCGGTCTAGATAGATGCTTAATGCCCTTCGAACGTCAAGTCGATGCCATTGATGCTCCAGTCTATGAGATGGTTTTGGACAAAAATTTGGAAGCACCAACTCCTGCGCTCTGTGGAAGACCGAATTTACCTTAGGGGTGAACGATGGATCCAATCTGAGAACCACTCTGTCCGCATGAAACACGCACAGGTCCTTTCTCATCGACAATGCTGCCAATTCGGAAATCCTCCTTGCTGATGTGATCGCAATTAAGAAGACCACCTTATATGTCAGGAATTTGAGACTAGCGGTTCTTAAAGGCTCGGACGGGCCAGTTTTAAGTGCGGTTAACACCTTGTTGAGCTCCCAAGTGGGATAGCGGTGAATTACAGGAGGTCGTAAGTTTGCAGCACCCTTAAGAAAGCTGTGGACATGTGGATGGTGCGCTATAGAACGAAGGTCACCCCAGGATATCACCGAGGCTAAGGCCGCCACCTGTCTGCGTAAAGTATTTGGTCAACCCCTCCTGTAAAAAGTCCAATAATTGTCCTATTGATGGGGCGGTTGGGTCGATCTTAGACCCCCGGCACCAGCGACAGAAAGAGGACCACGTGGCCTCGTATATACGATTTGTTGAGGACCGTCTGGATGCTTGTATGGTGGCAATGGCATCCTCTGAAATCTGTTGAAATCTGTTTCTTCTTGCTTCTTTTTTCAACTTTCTCTTCCTGGGGTTCTACTATTTTGTTGCCAAGTTTCAGTTAAAATGTATCTTTTAGGAATCTTGTTGAGGTTTTAGTTCCAGGCAGTCTCCTCCATTTTTCCAGATCCTGCCATTTTATTCTTTTTCTTTCCTTTCCTACTTTTAAAAGCTTTTAACTATCCAGAAATCTTTATTATCCCTTTGACATTTTATTTTCAGCTTAAATGCCTATTGATGTCAAACTGGATTTTTTTTTCAATTTCTTAAGTCTCTTAGCTGTCAGTATATAGAAGGGAAGAGAAAAAACAAACCAAATCATTTCCCTTTTCTCTCTCCTTCGCTGCTTCAAAATCTTCTTTGGGAACAGTTATTTTTTTATAGTTTAAATACCAGGGTACCTTGCATTGTTGCTTTTGCAGTTTAACCTGGTCAACCAAGACTTTCACTTCTTATCTTCCTCCTGCACATTCTTTTCCGGTCGAGTTCTTCTTTGAGGTGGCCATTTCTGACCACCGCTGCAACCGCCTTCAGGAAAGGGAGTAATGGCCAGCTGAGGAGGAGAGATGCGGCTCTCCTCAACCCTGCTGGCAGTCTCCCCCCTCTTCACCACTTCTATGGGATGGCTTAGCCCCGAAGCCAGTCGGCTCGGGGCGCTCCAGCAGCGAGCACAGATCGAAACCGTGCACGATCACGGTTTTGGTCTGTCAGCGAAGAAACTCAAACCGGAAGTCCTGGTTTTGAGAGATTTTAATCTGTCATCCCTGGGATCAGCCTTGGAAGCAGCTTTGAGTTCAGGGTCACTGTGGCAGCCATGGGCCTATCCAAATCATCTATGGCCCAATTCAAGACAGCAGTCGCACTCTGGATATCTTATTGCAGCAGTAGCAATGTGACCTGGTCAGGAATCTGTCATAATCAGCTTGGTCATGGTCAGACCATCCCCTGGTGGGCTTGAGATTTACTGTCCCCTTCTGCAGGGAGACAGGACCTATTCAAATGGTCCACTTTCAGCAACTGATGGACCTTCTTGGCTTCCAAGAGCGGGGGATATACTGGAGGCTCAACTGCATGGACCTGTGGAAGCTTTAGCTACAATCTTGAATCAAAAAGAAACTGAGGCCTTGGGCAGGATCACATCTATGTAACCTCTCTTACAGATGATTAGGCTGAAGCCAAGGGAGGAGCAAATGCCTCATAAGTCATGAGTCCCTGTGCATTCCCAAGAGAGCCAAGTCTAGCCTACCTTGAATGCCTTAATTCCTACTGATTTCCCTTGACTGTTAGTAGCTCAGATTCTTGTAGAGGGCTTCAGCTTGCAATAAATCTTCTTACTCATTTGAACTGCGGGAATCTGATTTCTCCAGTGCTTGATATCTCTTAGCCCATTGCTCCTGAAATCCCATGAATTAGGGAGGAGATGAGAGCAATGAAAAGGGCCAAAACACAGCTGCAGCTGCTGGAGGAAAACCAAGAACAAATCCGACTGGACATAGGCTATCAAGACCCACCTAGCAGCAGAGAGAGCGCCAAAACATCACTATTTCTCTGGTCTCCTTGCATCTGCAGTGTCACCCAAGAACCCTGTTTAGGTCACCTGATTCTTCCTCAAGGAGGGCTCAGATTATCATTTATACTCATGCAGAAAAAATTGTCAAACACCTGCTGAATAAAATGAGTTGGATCTGTTCTCACTAGGAGACCAAGCATGAAACATGACCATTAGAGATAAATTTGCCCAATTATCTGGGAACAGTTTGACCCTGTTGGACATGAAAAAAATGACAGAATCTTTGGGATTGTCAATGCAACTACTTATTAGATTTTTGTCCCTTGTGGTTGATAAAATCCTCCAGGATAGTGACCTGCCGGTGAATCCAGGCAATGATTAATGCATTGCTGCAGGAGGGGATGTTCCCACCACCAATGAAGGATTGGTCTGCCCACTCTTCAAAAAAATGTCATTGGATCCAACCTTTCTGGACAATTTTCATTCAGTCTTCCACCTCCCCTTCTTAGGAAAGTTGGGAAAACTCCTATCAGTATACAGCAGGCCCAAGAATTAAGGCCTACATACATACAATAAATTTCACTTTTATTGTGAAATAAATGTTTACAAATACTTCATTTTTTAGTGCAACTCCAATTCCATTTCAATTTAAGATCTGAAAAGATTCAAGATTATATCATTTGAATATATGATCTGAGAGATACCAGTTTTGGTCCAATACACTGTATTTTTTTTAAAAAAAGATTTGTGAACAATTCATTTTCTTTGGGTAGAAAGATAAAATAATAATAGGAATGGTAGAAGGTATTAACCCACACAAATATCAGATACCTTCAAGGCTTTCATCATTGTACAAATTTGAAATATGCTCCATACCTCTCTTTAGAGAGAAAAAAAAGAAAGAATTCTTCCAATTGCTACACCAATTGCTAATATTAGGGTCCAAAACAGGGGTCATGACTAACATTACACCTGGCAAAAACGGGATGTAAGACAGATACAATGAAATCTGGACAAATGAATAAAATAAATAGGAAAGAGGACAAAATGTGACTGATCTTTAATTATTATTTCTTAATGACAAAAATGGTTCTTATCTTGAATATGCAAATTTAGAACAGGGCCTTATCAAGAGAAAAGTTATTAGGTGCTTAAGAAATTAGGCAGAAGACAGAAAACATTTCTGTTGGAAGAAAGCTAGCTAAACATCCATGTGGAAAGAGCCAGGAAGTTTCTCAAATAGATGTTTTGTAAAGGTTCCTTCTTGTTCCAATTACAAGATTTTCATTCACTCACATAATATAACCCACTTTTCCACCAGCTGTAAATAACTTTATTATGAGAATTGACCAGTTGGCAAAATATGGAGAATGAAAGAGGGACCAAGAACAAATATGTAAGCTAAGTGTGATTGAGCAGTTGTTCATTTAAGATGGAGAGTTGTTGTTCATTTAAGATCATACAGTTTAACTCACATGACATTATTTCCTATCAATGTATCATGTAGCAGCTGAGTAGTGAACTTATTTTTAAGAGTACAATTTAAAGCTACAGTTGCAATAAAAATCTATATATGCAGAATTTAGTGGGAAATACTAGGCAAAAATCTTTTCTTTCATTAAAAAAATAAACCTCGTCTCTTCATATACAGTATATCCCTCACATATTGGAAAAGTATGCCACAAACTACACACAATTTTTACATGCGCAAGAATGTAGACAAGTGCAAAACCTATGATTCCATGAGCTTCACAAGATTCCAGTTCTCCAGACCATTCTTAGCTAAGACATTGTCTCAAAGTTTTCCAGAAATTAAACCTCCAAACAAAAAGAGTATGTAGTGTTTTGCATGGTATAAAATTGGCCTATTTCATCCAGAACACCATGGCCAGACAATCTACATTTCTACAAGCCCTTATCATCATTTACCAACACTAGATGATGGTATGGGTTTGCAGGAATGTGGATTGTACATTCACTATAGTGTTGACCTATACTTTATTCATTTAAAAGTGTATATCCAATTAAATCCAGCTCAGAAAAATCATAATTTGTACGACAATTCTAGCTAGTAAACATAGTATTTGTAAAAAAAAATTCTTATGGAAATGACTTTTGCTACTTATATATCACGAATTTTCAAAGAATATATATGAACAACTATCTAAGTAGGAATTCCGACGTCTCAGATACATATAAATGATAAGAGAAATATTTTTTTAATTTTCATAACTATTGAAAAGAAATTACAATCTAAGGGATACAAACAGCACAGTAGTATTTCTCCAAACATTACCCACGCTACATACCAACCACAATTAATTTAACAGTGAAAATACTCCACTGTGAAATAAAAAACCCAAGCCATGAATAATGTAGTTCTGGTATCCCAACACACACAGAACTCATACACATGAAAGCTGTTGAATCATGTAAGCTCTTTACAAAGTTGTCTAAAGAAAATGCCCACTAGTATAGGTTTCAAAACAGGGTAACATTTCTACTGATTGCAGCGAATACTGGATCCAGACTCACATTTCAGTGCTTACAAATTTACTAGCCTACAACTTTATACAACCCAACAACACTCTGCAGCAGATCTCAAGAGATAATCCCTTGGGAATTTATTTTGCAACAAGTGTAACAGTAAGTAGACTTGTAGTCCTTGGCAATGTAATTTGTAGTCCTATAATTTGTAGCAATATAATTACCAAATCCTTTATTCCTCAAACATTTTAGTTGACAGCAGTTACATTATCATATTACTACATTATGATCAGATCTTCATACAGTACTCTGACAACTGGCAACTCTGTACCTGACAACACCCTGAGTATTCCAGAAAACTCATATTTCGTTAAAAGTAGGAACTTAAGCCATACCACACAAAAAGTAAAAGGCATAACACATATACTGTATATACACCACATACAAACAACAACAAAAAATCCATCTGTCACAGACAGGCAGCCATGACTCAAATATAAGCATGCCCTATCTTGGTTGTTTCCTGCAGACACTTAAACATAAAAATATAAAATAGCTGTCAGTTTGGATGCTTGATCACGTCATCTGTAGTTCATTGTTTTCCTTTTAAAGTTTTTCAAATGCAAAAATCAAGTATAGACCTGGAAGGGAAAAAAGTCAAATATTAACAGCCTGATCACGTGTCAAAAATTTTCTCACTATTACTGTGAGATGTTCCTAACACTAATTTTTTTCGTACATATACAAATCTGAAACTATGCAAGCCCTATTCACATCTACCAAATTATTATCATCTTTATCATTCATAATATAGCCAGACATAACTACTCCCAGTAATGTGTGTATACAGAAAACATATGTACTTGGTGGTATATTTTTTAAAAAAAATCATTATTTTTTGAAATACAGGTAGTCCTCGACATATGACCTCAAGTGGGCCCAAAATTTATGTTAATAAGTAACACATTTGTTAAGTGAGTTTTGCCCCATTTTACAAGCTTTCTAGCCACAGTCGTACAGTGAATCATGCAGTTGTAATAACAGTTGTTAAGTGAATCTGGCTTCCACTTTGTCACATGACCCTAGGACACTGCAACTGTCATAAACATGAACCATTTGCCAAGCTCCCAAATTTTGATCAAATGACCACGGGGATGCTGCAACAGTCATAAGTGTGAAACATGGTCATGTCACTTTTTTCAGTGCAATTGTAACTTTGAACGGTCACTAAACAAATTGTTGTGGACCACATATTGATATTTCAAAGGTAATTAGCTGCAAGGTAATTAGCTTGTATAAGCAATCACGTTTAACTATTCTAAATTCATGTACTCACTTAATACAGAAACACAGAACCTGCAGCAACCTTCACCCAAGCCTTGGTTACAACTCCAGGATTTCGCTAAGAATTGCTAACGAATTTTAATTTATAGTGATACAGATTACAAAAAAAAATTGCATATCTAGAAAGTAATTGCATTGATTTTTTTAAAATTTAAATTAAATCAAAATCAATTGTTCTCTATAACTACAATATCTACACTGATGGGAATCTTTTCTATAAATCTATTAATGGTATAAACAATATATATGGTTGCACTTAACATACATGGTTCATGTCATGAAAGCTAAGATAATATGTAACAAAATGTATAGGTGCTAGTTGATCACCATCAATAACTCTACTGGCTATAATTCCTGGCTCATGTTTCCTGTTTTACACTTTAAGAGGAAAGCATAATCAAGTATGTCTCACAATTTTCAAACTTTTTAAAACTAATAATTGCATAATAATTCCGTTTTAGTCATTCCACTTTTTTGGCACCCATAAGGATATTACTTTATTGAAATTTATTCCTTATATCAATTCTACTGATGTTTGACAATGGAACTGATGTAAGGAATACATTTCAATAAACATCATCCAAACATTAAGGAAAGTAATTTGCATTATTTATAATATAATAAAGGTGGAAAATAAATGATTGATTAAATGAATGAAATGAATGAATGAATGAATGAATAGGCAAATAAATAACTTGAACTGAAATGTTAATGCCTACTTATATAAATTACTGATTATAAATTTGAAAGGTAAAGACTTCTTCCAGAAATACTCAACACTGGTTGACTGCATGGATGTACCCACAATGTTTTCTTAACAATGTGAAAGTGATTTCCATGTCCATGTTCTTGAGTGGTTTTCTTTACTTCCAAGTCAGTATAACTATGCAAAGTTAAATGACTGAATTTAATCTCAATACTTAGTGATGAATTTGCACATACTATGATGAATAGCCAGTCCTTTTGTGCAAAAATTCACTGTGTAGATTTATTTATGAAATATTTACACTCAAGAAATTTATCATAATAGCACAATAGCAAGACAAATACAGAAATGCTGCTAAGCAAACATATGTATATTTGATAGATGTTTGATAACTATTCCAGGAATTTTCAAACACTGCTTGTAATACATACTTGTTGCTTCCCATTCAGCCTTACTCATTGTTCCCTAAAAGAAAAAAGAAAGTTACAAGATTGTTTTTCTCTGAAGTTTTCCTGAACTTCAGAAAGCTAAACCGAGTTCTAAAATATTATACTAGAATACTTAAGCATTTTCTTTGACCCTAAGCACAGTTAGAAGCTGAATGTTGGATTAATACAAAGATCTTGTACTTTTAAAATATCTAAAAACTTTCTACCAGTTTTCAATTTCAACCCATCTGAAGATAAGCTCCCAAGAAAAGCAGCCTCTCATTTCTGTAATATTAGGATGGATGATGTAAATATTGTTTTCTATGGTGGGGGCAATGTTATTGAATTCTTTGCCCTTTGAAATTTGATCTTACTTTCCTTAGCTTCAAGAAATTATTAAAAACAGCTATTATGATGATTGGTTGCCCAGTCAACCAGATGTTTGGGTGGGATTTGCCATTTTTATCCACCTATCAAGTCCTTCTCAGGCGCTTGGGATAGGCAGATGTTATTGATTAAAATGTAAGCTGTTCCAACTAAAACTATCTTTTGCAATGGATTTTGTAAACAGCATCAGCCACACAGTTAGCCAAATGTTTAAACTGGACTTGGCATTTTTGTCCACCTAGCAAGTTTTTCCTCCAGATCTGGGATAAGTATATGTTGTTTTATGGTGTTCAAGGTATCATCACAGGATGTAAATTGTTCCAAGTAAAGCTGCTTTCTGTAACTGATTGATTGTGATTTTGTCAATGCCAGTGATGTTTAAATGGTGCTCCAGATGTTTTGGAATTCTACCCAAAGTGCTTATTAAAGTTGGTGCAATTGTTGTTTTCTTTTGTCATAGTTGTTTTACTTCCATTCGGAGATCTTTGTATTTTGTGATTTTCTCTCAAGTTCTTTATTTTCTATTCTATCTCCAGATACTGCAATGTCCACTTTCCAGACTTTGCCTTTATTATCGACAATCACAAAGTCTGAACTGTTATGTGGCAGGAGCTTGTCTATCTGAATTCTAAAGACCCAGAATATTTCATTTTCTCACACAGTCAGCCAGATACTTAGACTGGATCTGGCATTTTTACCCATCTATCAATTCCTTCTTAAAAATTTATGGTGATAGAAGCTGACATTTACATGTAATATTAGCTGCCTTACTTTATCTGTGATTTAATTATTCTTTATCATTATGTAAAATGATTTCTTCTGCAGATCTTTTGTTATTGCAGGTATAACCTGGCAAGAGCCTCACAAAGAAGATACAAAAAACAACAACATCCAATTATAGATATCTAAGAAATTTCATCTCTCTGAAATTAATAAAAAACATTTTTACATGAAGAAAATTTAAAGACTGAGTTTTTACACATTTATATGTGTTTATCTAAAAGGTCTAGGGGACCATGTCTGGTCTTAGAAACCAAGCAGATTCAGTCCCTGATCAGTACTTGGATCAGGGACCCCAAGGCAGGAAAATAATCTTAAAAGTCAAAATTATTCTACAAGACAACTATGGTAAACCACTTTCTTACATTCCTCATCTTCTGCTCCCCACCCTCCCAAAAAAGCACCCTATATGAAAGATTTTATTTAATTACCAGAAATTAAACTTAAGGACATCTTTAGATTTACCCTAACCTTATGCTACAGTATGTTTTCCCCCTGGGTTTCAAACACCAATAAATAAGTTAACAAATAAGAGATATATAAAGCTATATCACATCTAATCTAATCCAATCTAATCAATCCAATCCAATTTATTCACCTATCTATCTGTCCAACTGCTCAATCCACTGCATAATACTGGACCACTGCTGGTTTATTTCCTTAATATTTATATTCAAAAGCTTCTCTGTAACTCTCCACATATATTAAAGGACACTGTGGCAAATAAAGATAGCAGCTAACTTGGATATAACTATTTATCTACCTGGAATAATTGCTTAATATTAGAACTCCCAAGTTACCTTTTCTTAACCTAGGAAATAACAATATTTCCCAATTTCTTAATATTACTTTGTTATTGCAACTACAATTGGGAACAGTAATTCAGTTGTTTAGTAAAGGAGTCACTAAATGAAACTACAACTGTATTTATTACCTTACTTCAGCTTTCTTTTGCCTTATTTTTGTACAGACTGGTTATACAGTTACTTTTTCACTGTAATTTTGAACAATCAATAAATAATGGCTACTTCTATTCTCTTAGAAAAATATTGCAACTTTCCACACATAATAAAGCATATTCAGGCAAACAAGGATAGCAATTTACTTGAATATAATAACTATTAGTTATCTGGAGCAAAAAACACTTTCAAGAATAGACACATAGGATTTTGTCAATTCATTTCTATGTTACTTCTGTTTTCAAACAGTAGCTGAAATCTCTTAAATTACTATGATATGAGCAGGAAGACAAGTTAATTAAACTAGCAATTTTCATAAATGTGTCTACAAGATTGATGTTTCATTTTGAACAGCCCTATTTATACATAACGACACCTTTGTAAGTTATTATATGCCAATATCCAACCTTAAAATAAACAACTGTACCTACCTGCACTGTATTTTTCTCCTCCTAAGACTCAAATATTTCAAATAATAACTCTTTTAAAAAGCTATTTGCCATACAAGCAAACTTAACATTAATATTATGTGCCAACATGACACACACAAAAAGCTTCAGTACTTTCTTGCCCTTTCTGCAAACAGAAACCAATAATAAAATATGAATTGTTTTGCCATTTTACAGAAATTAAGGGGGCAGAATCTCTCCCTGACATTTGGGCAATGAGGCAGGCTGATTTCACAATCTATATCAAGCCAGCAACCTGAGAAAATGGTCTTCCTTCACAGCGGCACCAGAAGAGAAAAAAATGTGTTCTATAGGCCATCTAATATAGAGACCTAAGCCTATTCAATAGAGAGAGGAAGAAAAATATCTTAAGACTTCAACCGAACTAATCTGGTTGAAAGACAAGATATTGCAGTGTTCACATTGACTTAAATGACTAAGACTTAATGTTTCAGGTAGAGAAATACAATTTGGCCAATACTTACAAAAGGTAGTTTTGCTTTTCCATCCTTCTTAAGTATTTCTGCATGCTCATAATCCTCTTTTACATGTGAGACCAATCTGGAACCTTCGTCAGCGGGGTATTTCTGAAAAATAGCTTAGATAGAATTAATGCAAATATAACCCATCAACAGTATTTATATGAATTTATATGAATAGGTAATAATCTCCACAGCAAAATGAACTTGTCCTACACCACACCTGTATCTTCCAACTTATAATTATATCTCTTCCACCCATTACAGAATTAAAGGAGGTAGAACTGGTTTGTATTCAAGCTCTTTACAGAATAAGACCTACTTAGCTTTGGCATGGTACTATACTTATACAAGCCCATATCTCAGATTAACCTTCTGCAATCAGATGCTGTCCAAATATGTTGGAACTACATTTCTTATAATTTCCAGTGAGCATGGCTGATGACATCCAAATGGGGAAAGTCAAGGAAAGTTATCAATAACAAACTTAAAACAACTTACTGTAATTACTCCTGTTGTTGTATCCAAATATCATCAATTAGATTTTAAATAACACGTCTTAATGTTTATTACAGAAGTGGGTAGCCAATAGCAAGTCAAAACCTTAAATACACTTGATTCAAATAAAAATAAACATGCAAACTATTACAAAATTCCCTTTTAATCCAGTGACAATACATTATTTGAAAAATATATAACACTTGACCAGACCAACAATTTTAAGATTATATATATATATATATTTATATCTATATATATTACCTCCAATGCCATCATTTGTTGCAGAAGCATTTTATGTTCTATGTTCTTCACTTTTTCTTCATAAAATTCCCAAAATGTTTTTTTGTAGACTAGTTTCATTTTATACTTCTTTGCCATGCTGCAAAGTAAATTTAGTAGTATATCATGATATTATTAATTCTCAAAATACTAAGTTTCAAACAGTACTTCTGTATCCAGAGCAACCATCATCTGCATCAAAAGTGCAGCAACATGCATTACAGGATCAGAAGGAATTATTTAAATCACCAAGCCCTATACTGTGCTCAATGTGGAAAACAAAATTAAAGCATCTATTAAAATTGTTTGTCTAAATTTTTGTTTGAAAACATTCAACTCACTATCTCGAGTAATAGCAATAGCATTTATATACCACTTTACAGCCCTCTCTAAGCGGTTTACAGAGTCAGCCTATTGCCCCCAACAATTTGGGTCCTCATTTTACCCACCTCGGAAGGATGGAAGGCTGAGTTAACCTTGAGCCTGGTGGGATTCGATCTGCCAAATTGCAGTAGGAGTAGCTTGCAGTACTGCATTCTAACCACTGCACCACCGAGGCTCTTATGATAAATAATAAATTTATTATATATAATATACAATTTATATATAATAAACAAATTGATCTAACTGTAAAAAAATATTCAATATTTAATGAGAATCTACTTTCACATAACACCTTTATTCTATTTTCTTAGTCTGAAACAACAGAGAACGTGTTGTGGCATTGTCTATGAAGATTCTCAGTCATCCAGGTCACCGTTATCCCAAAGGTACTTTTTCAAAAGGCAACTGGACTTTTCTTTATTTTTTCCTTGAATATGTTTCACTTCTCATCCAAGAAGCTTCCTCAATTCTGAACTTGGGAGGGAGGGTGATTTATATTCCTTGCAGTCAACTAATTGTTAGCACTCTTTCTGAGAGTACTTGAGGTCATTTGGGGTTTATCTATTCCCTCAGGGTCACCTGAATCAGGGGGTGGAAATAAAATGTCTTCAAGAAAAAAAGAAAGAAAAGTCCAGTTGCTTTTTCAAAAAGCACCTTTGGGACAATGTTGTGGCATTCTTTTGTGTGTCACTTATTCTAGTACATGAAAAGGCATATTTTCTCAATATTAAAATCTCCACTAGTCTGTTTCTGGAAAGACTTAATTTCTAGTCCCCTGCTCATCCTCTTTACCATTTTACACTTGTTTTAAATTGCCTCCATTTTTAAAAAATACCATATCCAATGCTAGAAGCAATACTGAGGTGAAGTATAACTAATGCAGAGGAACAATTGTTTTCCATGATTTTGGAAACTGCACTTTTATTCAAGCAGCCTTAAATAACATTTTTTCCAGACACATTATCCTGCTGACTCTATGAACACTAGAAAGTAAGTTGGAGTGCAATATTAAGACTATAGAACCAAATAAATTCATTTTAATCAGTGTTAATTCTGCCTGTATGAGAGGATGTAAAGAAGAGAAAGGAATGAAGAAGAAAGCTACAGAGTCCTCAGGTTATCTGGAATTGCCACCATTAAACAATGCAGTTATAAAGTGCCACATCATAAGACTGTATTACTTAACAACGGGAATCCCAGTTGCTATCATAACTACAGAATGATGTGGATTGTTAAGTGAAGACCTCATGACCATGGCATGGGAAGAGTCAGAAATTCCAGGCTGATGGATAACAGCTGCAGGTGAAAATTATAGATGGGAGGATGGGTACTGTGGCAGGGAGGTGAATGCCCAGATAGGCAGTACAAAATGTGGGCAGGAGAATGTTAGGTCCAATCTTGTCCATTTTTCAGCACCATTGTATCTTTGTACAGTCATTGATCGTATAGGCGTAACCTGAAGACTACTTATATAATTCCAAACAGTGGACAAAAAGTCTGTTTCGAATTCATGAGCTATCCCTGGCTCTGTTATTCCTCAAGGAAACTTAAGCTTAAGTTACTATACAGGAAACTTTAAATAGGCAAAGCCAACTTATGGACAACTCTGACAAACATTTAAATAAAGCAGTATTTTTGTTGTTTTATAAACTACTTTTCTATGTCAATTACTCAAAGTATCTGATAATATTTAAAATATAAAGTAAAGAGGCTGAAAAGAAATAAAACTAAGCTAACATGCAAAAAGTAAGATTAGGTAAGAACTTACTCTTCCAGCAATGGAAAATAAACCAGGAATTCTGGAACATCAACCACTCCTTCCAAGTGGAAGTCATATTTGCAACCAAACAAAGGATAGTCTCCCTTTTTCTGAAACTTTACATTATATATTTCATTCCCAAATGAATTTGTTTCTGAAGATTCAAGGCGTTTTCTATGGCAAAACATAAAAAAAAAAGACAATTACAACATTTGGTTAGACTTAAGAGAAATTATATAGCCAATTCAGAGAACACTAAGAAGCCAAATAAAACAATGATTTAAAAAAATCCTATTGGATAGAACAAAGTATCTTTAAAGCAGTGAGGTAACCAGGCCTTACAAAAAGCTTGGTGCAGCTGCTCAGAGGACTTTTTGAAGACTGTCTCAACATTTGTACAATGTGGAAATTGCTTCTGCCAAGACTGATGGCACAGTAAGGCAGCTGTGGAAAATGCAACAATCCTGACACTTCAGTTAGGTACATCTGATTTGCCCCAACATGTTGGGGGAAGTGACCTTTCAATAGGCACACTCAGAAATGTAGTGGCTACATCTCTTTTGATATCCTGAATAAGTTAATTAACAGAGGGTAATCGAAGTCTAATGGCTGTGGAAGGCTTCAAATTAGAAGCAAAATGGTGCTTCAGAACATGGGGACATGCAAAAATAGATTTTTTCTTAAACCAAACATCTTCCTAGGATCAGCTGCCATATTCTTGCTTTCAAATCCAAAGTTCCACACAGCCCTACTTATTAATTGTATTTTCTATCTATGGCTGCAATTGTCTATTATCTCATGGTTTCATATTTAGTGTCTGGAACAATGAAAATTTGGTATTTTAATGAGCAGAAAATGCTTTTCTGTATCTTAAGAGGATAGGGTGCTTCTTTAAGAGGGAATTTTCAAGTGTTAGGAATCTTGTGGACTAATAAAATACAGAATCAAACCAGACATACAGTATTTCTAATTTACATGATATTCCTATTATGCATTTAATACATTTACTTTAGATTATAGTCACAAGATCCACAGACCAGAGCTGGATTGATTGATTATGTGTCAGGGAGGTAAACAAATGAAACAGTCAAGATGAATAATATGAGCAGATATTAATAATGATATTCATCATTGTTATGGCAGCAATACTTTGTCCAATCAATTCCAAAAAAACCTGACATTTGAAAATACCTGACTTAAAAAATATTTCCTTTATTTCTCACATAATTCATTCTCATTAACTTACACAAGTTCGTAACTATCTGGAGTTGTGCCAATGAAGTATCCTCCAGGAGAAAGTTGCTCACAAGCGTTTTTAAGCATCATATCTGCTTGCTCATAGGTTTCAAATGAATAATGATACACAAACTGACAGCTGCAAATGTCAAAGTACATATTGTTATCCTTGTACCTTTCAGACAGAAGTTCCTGAAACAAACAAAAAAAGGAAATAAAAAACTAATGTATATTATTCCAGCATCCTAACTACAAAGCTTTTTGAAAACCTAACTAAAATTACTTTTTTGTATCTACTGTATCTATATCTGTTATATCCTTATGAACTGAATTCTAAGTAAAAATATTTGGAGTGGTTTTTTTCAGGGGAAAAAGCAACAATGAAGAGAACAATTTTAGGCAATCCTTATGTATGTTCGTGATGTTAACAATATATAGAAAAATTATTACATAAAATTGTGAATATCTGGACGTATGATTTCACATGGCATAAATTACAAATGTGTACTTGTCTCATTGAAATGCAGTACCATAAATCTTCACAGTTTTACAGAGGAAATGTTTAAGACTAATTCCTAACTCTCCCTGCCAACAAGATTAGATTAATTATTCAGTCTGTAAAATATGCAACTATTTTATTAAGAGTTCAACACCTTTTTCTAAAATTTTGCTTCAGTCATAATGACTACTTTCCAGTTTACAGAAAGAATAACAAATTTCAAAGTAATAAAAAGAAAATAAAGAGCATAAAACAACTATACCTTGGTGCTATCCGCAGTTATAAATTCTGCACTGAAAAATCTATCATTCTGACGACCACGGTTTTTCATATCTTGGAAACGCTGTTCACACTGTTGTACAGATACACCAGCAATATCTATTTTTTAAAAAAGCTGAAATATCACTCATTTGCTGAGATTTAGCAAAAATGGAGGCTTAATTCAAACAAATACAATTCTATTTAAAACCAAATACTTCTTATAGTACATCAAGGTTATGCCAGTGTTCAGTAGTGTTTATTCAGAACAAATATTAAATCAAACCTAAAAATAATACCTTTGACAATTATTTGCAGTGAGTATAGTATAGGATAGTGCAGATAACTTTTTTTATTGCCAACAGAAAATGTGCATCGAAGAGATCCAAGTTAAAGAATTAGAAAGCATTTCAGTCAGAACATGTTTATATGAATATAATACATATTTATTGCATGCATAGATGATATAAGTAAAATTTTTGTAAGGACAATAATGCATCTTACAATTCCAGATAGGAATCTAGCAGATACTGTTAGGTACTGCAGATCTGATTTTACTTATACCACTCAAGAAACTATGCACTTGAAATAGAGTTGAAACCGAATAAACTCTATGATACTAGATTCTAGTTTTGCAAATTTTATTCTTTTTTACCCGTACAATATGCAAGTTTCATTTAATTTCAAAATTGCTTATTTTCACTATTAGCAAACTTGTGTACTAAAACATAAAATGGATATAAAATATGCCTTTGGAAATTTTTCTCTACTCTTTCACCCTACCAGAGCCAGGTAGCTATTAAGGTAGTTCATCCTATACATGGATTTAATGTATTTTCTTACTATTTTTACAAATTATACCGTATTTGCAAAATGAAAATTAAAGATATCTCAAAGTTCCTTTTCTATGTTATCCACAATTTATTTATTTATTTTTATTTATTTATTTAATTTATACTGCTGCCTATTCGCCCATGGAGACTCGAGGCGGCTTACACAATGTAAAACCATATTTAAAACAAATAATGAAAATAAAAATAAAAAACAATAAAAACTAACAAAAAGAATCAAATAAATTAGTACAGTACAATAGAACAAAATTTGGGAAAACAAAAAAACAAAAAAAACCAACTCCCACCCCCCACCCTGATGACAGCAGATCACACTAGCCATTTGATGGGCTCCATTCCTCTCTGGGTTCCCCAGGCCCGCTGGCAAAACCAGCTCTTCAGTGCCTTTCGGAAGAGTACTAGAGTGGGGGCCATTCTAATCTCTGGGGGAATGATATTCCAGAGAGAGGGAGCCACCACAGAGAAGGCTCTTCTTCTGGGTCCCACCAGGTGTATCTCCCTCAGGGGTGGAACCCACAACATTCCCTGCCTCTTCGCTCTAATGCGTCGGGTAGATGTGACTGGCAAGAGACGTTCCCTCAGATAACCTGTACCCAAGCCATGAAGGGCTTTAAAGATGATAACCAGCACCTTGAATTGCACCCGGAAGCAAATCGGCAACCAATGCAGCTCCTGCAAGAGAGATGACACATGTGCACACCGGGGTCTCCACAAAACCATGCGGGCCGCTGCATTTTGCACCAACTTGAGCTTCCAGATGCTTTTCAAGCACAGGCCCATGTAGAGCGCATTCCAATAATCAAGACAGGAAGTGACCAGGGCATGAGTGACTGTGAGTAGGGACCGTTGATCTGGGAAAGGGCATAACAGTTGCATAACCCACAGTTGCGCAAAGGTCCTCCTGGCCATGACCGCCATCTGCTCTTCAAACAGGTGTCGTGAGTCTAGGAAAACCCCTAGATTACGCACAGGGTCTGTTTGGGGTAGTACCACCCCATCCAAGACTAAAGGTGGTAATTCTCCCTGAATCAACGAACCCCAAACTCAGAGCCACTCGGTCTTGCAAGGGTTTAGTTTCAACCCGCCCCTAACAATCCAGCCCCTAACAGCCTCCAGGCACTGCGAGGAGGACACAGTAACACTTAACTCATCACGAGCCGAGACATACAGCTGAGTATCATCAGCATATTGGTGATACCTCAGTCCATGGTGACGGATGATAATGTTAGGGATAACATTGTTTACCCTAACTGGTTTGGGTAAAAATAATAAATAAGTTATCATGGTTTGTTGGTTAAA